GTGTCCCTAGCTGCTCAGGAGGAGATGGTCAAATCTGTTGCAGCTGTCAAATCTTTTAGTCCCTCCAACAGCAGTGAGGATAAACAACTTGTCAGCAGTGCTCTGTATATTTTAGAATCAGGACAGTTGCCATCGGCAACAGCCAGGTAGACGAGTAAGGTTACAATTTTGTTGCCTGGTGGATGTTTTGTACACCTTTCCACTAGTTTTTGCTGGGGCCTATCACTGGGTCTCTGTTTTAGCAGGTTCTGGGTGTTGCAGCATGTGTGGCCATTATGGTGTGTGGTATTTCTTTTTCTGGCACTTCTTGCAAAAACCCGTAATCCCTAAAAGGAAGTGTGCATTGATCAGTGTTAAATCTTTAACCAAAGCCTATGTGTAAGACTTGTATTGATAAACTTGTAAAAGACTAATCTGCCGGCATCTACAAATACCTCCTTTTGTAGCATTAAGGAGGACTTGTTGTCTACCTTTTAAAGGTTAATTCCACTTTGCCAGACAAATTTGGAAAATGGAATTACCCCTAACAATCTACCACTCTTCTCCTCCCGCTGCTCTTACCTTTATGCAAACACTGCTTCCCCTGCCTGACTCTGTGTCCTGCGCTAGGTATTTCCAATTACCTTCTCAAATGGAGAGCATTCACTGCTCAGCGTGGTCAGAAGCGCTTCTCATTGGTCAGGTGACTTTGCTGACCAATGAGTGCTCGCCATTTACGAGTGTAATTTGAAATACATAGTGCAGGGCTACGATGCTGTGTATGGGGGAAAGATCGTACACCGGCAGGCATGGAGGGGATGCAGTGTTTGTTCAAAGGTAAGAATAGCGGGATGGGGCAGGGAGGGCAAATTGGTGGGGGTAATTCCATTTTCCAAATTTGCATGGGAAAGTGGAATTTCCCTTTTAAATTAATTAATTACCCTTTGTGGACCTTAGACCCACTATCCATATTGAGTCTGTACCACTGTTCCTGGCACCCTAACTGGTTGGCAGAGGGAATGAAGTTGTAGTGGAGGACATTACAGGCAAAGTTAGTGAAAAGCATAATTCAAGGAACAACAGGGTGCATCAGAAGTACCAGGGCCTTCAGCTAGAAAAAGGAAGGGTGTTTCCAGTTCACAAGGTCCTTATGCGATCAATTATTAAATAGTGATCTGACCTAGAAAAGAAGCCCTTTTTTCTTTAACAATCTTAAATGTAAGTTTCCTTTGGACAATGATCCTGGTATAAGAATACTAAGCTGGATATCCCTTTTGCTAAGGTCTTTTTCCCCCCCCCTTTTGCTAAGAAATTTAGATCTTGCATTTTATGACATGGGTATGTTAAAAGAACTTAAGGATAAGTTTAGGGCTGCAGCTAACGATTATTTTCATAATCGATTAGTTGGCCGATTATTAAGTTCGATTAATCGGTTAATCGGATAAAAAAGAAAAAAAAGGCTCCAGTCATGGACTACTAGTTTGTATTGAGATTGTAGTCCATCACAGGAGCAAGCTTGGCGCGGTGGAAGTAAAAAAAAAAAGTGTGGTGTGCAATATAGTACATTATACAGCAGCGCAGTGCAGAATACCAGCAGCTATAGAGGAATGTAGCAATAGTACATTATACTATAATGTACTATTGCTGGGATTTGTAGTCCTCTGTAGCTGGCCTTATTCTGCATTGCGCTGTATATAATGTATTATTGCTGGGATTTGTAGTCCTCTATAGCTGGTGGTATTCTCCATTGCGCTGTATAATGATTATACTGCGCAATGCAGATTACCACTGACCAGTTAT